AGACGGCCCTTAGCGCCGCGAGTACACCCGTGTCCTCGCCCCAGCCGCGCGGCACAAAAAGCAGTGGGGGCACAGACTCTAGGGTCCTGGGCCATAAGGGGCATAGATGACCCAGGACTCCAGGGTCCTCGCACAAGTCGGGGGGCAGATGTGAGGAAGCTTCATGGGATAAGAAGAAGGCAAAGCTGCAGGAACAGAAGGGGGGTCTGGGTGAGGGCCCCGGCAGAGGGTCTCAGCAGGGACAGCGTGCTGGGAGCTGCCAGCCCCACACGGGGCGCCGCGGCCCTGAAGACCCCCCCTCTCCTTTGCACAGGTAGGCCTGATCCGGGCTGAGGTCCTTCTTCCTGGGGCATCGGAGCCCAAATCTTGCTCCCTGCCACCCCGGCTGCCTGGTCTTGCAGAACTCCCCCCTGCTTCTGACTCTTGGGCTTGACACCCCCAGCTTTCACCTTCCCTTCTCTGAGCCTCCCTTTGCAGGGAGAACGAGAAGAATAATCCCTTCCTGGAGGAGAGAGAAGTCTATGAGGCTATACAGGCTAGCAGTTAAGAGCTCAAGGCCCTGGTAGAGCTCAGGTTCATATCCAGCTACGTGCCCAGGAGACCAGAATTACTCAGGGCATGGACTGCGGGGCCAGGGTGGCAACGCCTCTTTCTTGCTCTGTGACCTTTACCTCATCGTGCCACCTCGTGTCCCTGTTCTCCGACTTCCTCACCTGTAAAATAGCTGATGACAGGGTCTGCAGTGGGGGAGAGGGGTTCCAAATTCGTGGTTACACCAAGGGTTGTGTTAAAAATCAGATTAGCCAATCTATGTAAGAGACTGAGCAGTCTGGCACCTAGTCAGTGCCATATAACCACTGTTTGTATCCTAACTATGGGCTACCCGAAGCATGAGCCCATTACGTATAGGTGCTTAGTAAACAGCTGGCTCTAGCTGTGTGACCTGGGGCAAGTGACTTTCTCCCCCTGAGTCTTGGATGTCCTCATCTGTAAGAGGGAGGTGACCTCACTGCCTGTAGTTTCTGCGGCAGCACGGTGGCCGGGCACATAAGGAGCGAACAGCATTCAAGTTGTTACTCCGATTTCAAATCTCTATTAACAGTATTAACCTGGCCCCCTGCGTTGACCTCTGCTTGGCTCTAACCCCAGCTCACACCAACTCCCTACTGCCCAGAGCAGGGAGACTGGCTGCCTCCTTATCCCCAACCTGTGTTGTTCTCCACAGTCACCAAGACCCTGAGCCAGAGGCTGAGTCCCAGCTGGAGCCTGAGGGAAAGTGGGTCCTATGTAACTATGACTTCCAGGCCCGCAACAGCAGTGAGCTCTCTGTCCAGCAGCGGGATGTGTTGGAGGTTAGAGGGGTGGAGGGTGGGGGGGTGGGGCCAAGGGACGGCAGGGGGCCCAGCTGTAGCTGCAGACACAGGCTGTGAACCATCCTCTCCTACCCCCCTCAGGTCCTGGATGACCAGCGTAAGTGGTGGAAGGTTCGGGACCAGCGAGGGCAGGAGGGATATGTACCGTATAATATCCTGACACCCCACCCGGGGCCTCGGGCAAGCCGCAGCCTGGTGAGTCTGGGGAGATTCTTGGGGACGATCAGGTGTCAAGGGCACTGACAGAGGAAGTAGCTGGAGGTGGGGGTGGGGGCGGGGGGATGCAGAAATTTACCTCCAAATGGCGGAGGAGTTGGGACTAGGTCCTCTCTTTGATCCAAGTGCTCCTCTGGCTCCCTCTCCAGGAGAATAGCACTCCTCCTCCCCCACGGGCCCCGGCTCCTGCCTCCTCTCGCCCCACCTGGGACAGCTGTGATAGCCTCAACTTGGACCCCCTAGAGAAGGGTGAGTGGTGCAGGCACCTTCGGGGAGCCGTCCTTGTCCTCGCTTTCCAGTCAGGGGAACCAAGGTTCGGAAAGACCAAATGGACTCCGAGCCCATCATGAGGACGCTGGAGGTCTCCCTTCTGGCCCCAGGACCCTTCGTCCTGAGTCCGCCGTCTCTCCCGGTTTCCCCGCCTGCAGAGAAATTCTCCCAGATGCTGTGCGTCAACGAAGAGCTGCAGGCGCGCTTGGCCCAGGGCCGCTCAGGCCCCAGCCGCGCAGCCCCGGGTCCCCGCGTCCCGGAGCCGCAGCTCAGTCCGCACTCGGACGCCTCGGAGGTCCGCGCCTGGCTGCAGGCCAAGGGATTTAGCGCTGGGTGAGTGACTGGGGTCTGCCGGGGAGCCGGAGGCGTGGTCGCAAGAGGGGGAGCCTTGGGAGTGGCCTAAAGCGAGGGTCGCTCTGGTGGCAGTGAACGGCAGTGTGACTGGCACGTTACTGCGGGCTTGGATTGGGGTCTCCGGGCGCGCCTGCCTCCGCGGGAAAGATGGGCACACGCGCCCCGCCCCCTCCCACAGCGCACTGTGATTGGGGGGCGGGAGCCTTCGCAGCAAGAATGCTGTTCCGATTGGACAAACGGCAGGACAGGAGTGACGTGATTGGTGGGGGCTGAAGGGCTTGGCGCTGTGATTGGCTGGCGGGTCCTGACCGCTCCCCCTCCGCTCGCCCAGGACCGTGGACGCGCTGGGCGTGCTGACCGGCGCGCAGCTCTTCTCACTGCAAAAGGAGGAGCTGCGAGCCGTGAGCCCGGAGGAAGGGGCGCGCGTGTACAGCCAGGTCACCGTGCAGCGTGCGCTGCTGGAGGTGAGCGGACGCTCCCGGGCCGACCCGGGAGGGCACCCAGGGCTCGGAGACCAGGTGTCTGATTTCCACCCCGCCCTCCAGGACAAAGAGAAAGTGTCAGAGTTGGAGGCGGTGATGGAGAAGCAAAAGAAGAAGGTGGAAGGCGACATGGAAACTGAGGTTATCTGACCCTTCCCGGCTCCTCTGCTCAGTTTTTCGAGGAAGCCCCATGGCAGAACGGACTCTGCAGACTGCTGCCACCCATGGAAGTAGACCCCTCCCGAAGGCCCCAGACCTGTTCCGGTGGAGCCTCCGGAGCGAGCGGACTGGCCGTGAGTGGGAGGGAAGGGCCATACTCGGGGTCCCCGCGCATTGGGATATGCTGCCCAGTCTATAAACAGCCTCCTTGTAGCAGACATTTTCAAACTGCTGTCCCTTCTCTACCGGGCCACGAGGGGTCCAAGAGCCTCTCTCACCCCCGCTACAGCCTCAGGAGGACAAGGAATCTGCAGGTCCCCACCTTTTCTGGTTTCTTTCTCTGAATCCCTCTCCTCCCTTCCCACCCCCCCTCACGTCCCCACCCGACATGCTTTCTCCTCACCTCTCAGCCAGCAGTCTGTCCTCTAGTTCACTCCAGAGGGACCTTCTGAACGGCCAATATCCCAGGCTTCCCTTGCTCAAACTCCTTTCCTGACTCCCCACGGCCCTCTTAGCCCTAGAGCCGAGCATCTGAGGTTTGATCCCTACCCACTCTCCTCATCCCCCCCATGCCCTCCTCCAAATGCCCCCAAGCTCCCTCAAACACCGGGGTCCTGCGCTTGCTTTCTGCGGGCTGGAAGGGATCTTCCACTTGGTGAACAGCTTTCCTGGCCCAGTTCCAATACCCACTTCAGGGAAGCCTGCCCCATCCCCGGCATCCATGTCACTTTGTCCCCCACTAAGTGCCAGGGACCCAGCCACAAAGTGGCTGCCTCCTGAATATGCCACAGGCCTCCTGGTCACCCTTCTCCTGGGAGAGGACATCCTCAAAGGAGGCTGTCCCCTTGTTCCCTCTGACCGGCAGTAACTTCCTCACGTCCAGACAGCGGGCAAGGCTGGTTCAGGACTGGTTTTCTCTCATCCCACCTGCATTCAGACTGGTTGTCCCCCGAGCTTTAGGAACAAGTCCCTTTCCTCCTCCTGTGGCCCCAGAATGCCCACCTCTACCCCTGGAGCTGAGTGTCTTCCTCAGCCACAGTCTGCCTTCCAAAATCAGATGAGACCAGACACAGTGGGGGCAGAGAGGAGCTCCGACCCTGGCCCCACTTTGCCCGCCTCATGCCTCACACCTCTCCTGCCTCCCCCAGATCCAGGTTCCGGCTCGGCAGCTGCGGGCCTGGGGCTGGTCACACTCCCAGCTCCCCTCTGCCTGCCTCCAGGCTTCTATGTGCTCCCCACCCTGACCCCCTCGGCCCCAGTGGGTGTGTAAATGTCCTCTAACCTCCTGCCTCCTCTCCCAGCCCTGGTTTCTGACAGAAACCGGGGACGCGAGTGGCATCCCCAACCTGCGTGCCCCACATGCCCACGGCACCCACGGCCTGCCGGCCGGGCCACACAACCCCTCGTCAGGAGCGAGGCAGGCCCGAGCCCTAGCCCTAGCCCAACACCAGCCAGCCTGTCAGGACGTGCAGGCTGCCGTCGCCTCCGCCACTCCCACAGTCTCACTGTGGCTCACCAGCTCTAGCCACCCTCCCTCCCAGCACTTATGGCAGCAGCCCCATAAGCTAGTCTCCCTCCTTCTGTCCCTCACTGCCCTCCCCCAGACTGTTGTCAACGCAGCTGCCAAAGGGACCCGTGAAAACCTAGGTCCCACCTCAGTTCAAGTCCTTCCCAGGGCTGGCCGTTACGGTTCCAACCTCATGTCCTACTATCTCTGACCACACTTGCACCCCACAGACTTTGTACCTGCTGCCCTCTTCATCCAGAAAACTCTTCCTTTAAATGCCTACATGGCTCACTCCTTGACGCCTTCAGGTATCTTCCTGTGCCAGCTTTTCGATGGGGCCTGCACAGAACACACCCGTGTATGTTCTCCTGTGCACACACCCCTGCCTCCCTCTGCCCTTCCCCTGCTTCTCCACAGCACCACCGCCTGGGATACTCCTTGCATTGTTGCCTGCCTCATGCCTCACCTCCTCAATTGTACCCGGTCTTTCCCATTTCACTCACTACTGTATCACCAACAGGTAGGACGGGGCTCGGAAAGGAGAATGACAGAATGCCCCATCCTCCTACTCAGCACCAGCCAATTGTTACCATGCAAGGCTGAAAAGTTCATACTATCACATTCCTATTTCTCCAGAAAAGTCAAAAACGTAGGTTTTTCTTCTCGTGAATTACCCCCAATTTTAAATGTCGGCAATTCAAATTTGTTTCAAAAACTCGGCTGGTAAGACCCAAGCTCCCAGGCTCCCTTGTGACCGGGTCAGCCCTGGTGTGGGGCCACTGCCCCAGCCGGCCACTCCTGGAACCCCTTCCCAGCCAGTGAGCACTCACCGAC